ATTCTACAATTTTTATAATCCAATTTTACAGTTTTTAAAAATAGAAAAATATAACGTTTATATTTAATGGCATTTTTTATGGTCAAACAAAAAAAAATCATGGTGTCTGTGTCAGCGATGTCAATTTTTTAAAATTTTTGAGACCAAAAAAATCACAAAAAATATATTCTTTTTTTCGTTTTTTTGTGAATAAACCTTTCTTCATGCTTTAAATGTTGATATTTTGCAAACCAATCTCTGTGTTTTATTGTTGAATAATCTTCATTTTTTATAATCCGGGTTTACAATTTTTAAATTTAGATTGACATAAGGTTTGTTTTAGATGATGTTTTTTTAATAGCGTTTTTTGTTATGGTTGAACAATAGGCTAAGCACCCGATTTACCACGTTTTATATTTAATTATTTTGTGTAAGTTTTTTGTTAATAATTCATTATGAAGTAGGATATTTAATTAACGATGTAAAAAACTAACTATATCTATAGTTTTTTTCTTTTTTTTGAAATGATTATTTTTTTGTTTTCTTTTTTGAATTTATTACTTTTTAACCATATTATACATCCAAAAAAGAAATACAAGAAATGTGGAGTTTGTAATTCTTTTTCTGGAGAATCCTCGATTGATGTCAAACATATGCAGTCATTATTACAAACAGTACCATTTCGAATACTATATCGATATTAATCTTTTATTATTAAACAATAAAGCTGTTTTAATCAATAATATGAGTTCGTTTTTTATATTGAATATACATAGCTGAGTTTTTAAATCTTTATATTTAATTGATACATCTAATATAATACAACAATTGACAGAAAAATAATCGTACCGTCAAAACAGTATATTTAAGATAAGATGGTACATATTTTGCTCTATTTTTATGAATATCAAATTAAAAAACCAAGTTCAATATTTATCAATCATCAGTGAAACTATAAAAACTATACTTTACTATTTATGACAAAATAAAGGTAAATAACAATAAGGTAAATAGGGACCTACATTGACCACCACCACCACCTTTACCAAAAAAAATATTTGCCGCGAGTGTTTTTTGAAGGGAGTCCACTTTTCAGCCACTGTTTGTGCGTCCCCATGTCACCCACTTTCCTTGTCCGTACTGTGTGGACGCGGATGTGGTTCCCCCCCGCTTGCGGGGGGTCAGGGGGGATCCGCGCCAAGGGAGGACTTGGAAAGTGGGTAAAACAGTGCACAAACAGACTGTTTGAGTGTGTCTTCAGAGCCTTCTTTTCAATGCTCCGTCTTTCTCGGTTTCCACTGACTCGAGGTGAATTTTCGGCATTTTTTGAATTCGGGAACCAGACCTAATATTATCCCAGTTTCCTATTTACTATAATTTGAATTTGAATATGATTCGAAATAGAAAAAATAAATCTATTTTAAGAGGTGGTGGTGGTGGTCAATGTAGGTCCCAGGTAAATAACAAAAATCAATTTCGAAATAACGATTTAAGTTTGATGAATAAAAATATTAATTATGAAAATATCTTCGTAAAGAAAATTCAAAAATACAAAACAAAACAGAACAAAAAGTCCTTCGTATTGAATTTCCCAAAGAAATTATTTCGAAAAGTGAACCTTTTGTGTAAATAATTTGTTTTAAAAGCTGTACGAACATTTTACGGTGGTCGACCATTTTGTGATACACTTTACAACGATTTTAATTTCAACCAAAGTTATTAAAGTGAATTAAAACGATTACAGCGATTTTTGAATGAAAATAAAAGATTATTTATGTCTTTTTGGTGGTTAATATTTAGATTAAACTATTCTTAAAATACATTATATTTATAGTTTGATATTGATAAATAATTAAACAAAGTCGAGAATTAATAATAATTAAATGTTGCATCAACACCACACAAAATTGATGCTGAAAAAATGAAGCGACTGTAAACACCCAATTTTATGTAAAGAATTACACCTTTTATAACTCGAGAGTCCAACTTTTGTCACACTTTTGGGATACAAATTATTTTTAATGTTTCACAATTTTGAAACGCCGAATCACAGATTTTGTGTATTTCTTCTTTCATAACAACATCTTCAAGTTTTCGACAATTTTTGAACATAAATTTTCTGATTTTAGTTAGTGTTGTTGGAAGATGTAAAGAAGTGAGTGATGATAAATTTGCAAAGACGAGGTGTTTGTCGAACAACACACTTTCTTCAATTTGATACTTCTTATGTGACTGCATCCCATGAAACACTGTTTTCCAATCAAACAACTTTCGTTGATGATTTTAACAGACTCCAGCATTGTATAATTTTTATAACACCAATTTTTGATTTCATCGACACTTTCAGGCAATTCAAGATGTTTTAAATTGCACGATTTAACAATGAAATTGTCCAACAATTTGGCGCCTTTAGCCGGAACAAAATTGCTATGAATAATGAAAATGCGCCGTAAGTAGACGAAGTGGCAAACTAAGTGGATTTTGGTAGATTTCGGGAACAATCAAAAATTTTTTAATGAATCGGTTTGGAAACCATTTTTTTCTGTTATTGTATAATTTTAAAACTATGTTTTTATCAAACACAAATAATAAACCAAAATAATTTGGTTTATTATTATGTTAATAATATTAATAATAATTGCTTTAATTGTTAAGGCGACCTTGAAGATCCATCAAAGTGCTTGGGCTGACAATTATTATTTAAAGTCAAAAACATACGTAAAATAATTAAGAACTTGTAACAAATGGTTTGAAATGCGTGTCAAATAATTGTAAATATAAAAAAATAATTAATTATTTTTTGTGTTAAAAAAAGTGTTTATAAAAATAATTATTTGGTAAACAAAAAAATAATTGTATTTCTTTAAATTATCATATTTAAACAATTGTATTTCATATTAAAAATGTAGTTTTTTGATAATCACACACTCTGTTGTCAAAATGACAAGACATGGAATGATAAATAAATAATTAATAATTGTGTTTAAATGTATTTGTTGATGTTAATATAAACCAAAGATAATAATTGTTTTTGACATATTTTTGATTTATGAATATATCTTTTATATTTAAAATAGGTGTGACCATTTAAATTGTGTAACTACATCAAAAAAATATTTTTCAATAACTCATTGTTGATAATAACATGTAAATAACGTTATTGAACATATATATTATCTTTTTTATTTATTATGTCTTACTACACACACACAAATAACACAATTATAATATTGACATTACAACTGTTATTGAATAGTCAAATAATAACATGATTATACAGTTACTTTTAATGAATTTATTATGATAATTAATATAACATGGTTTACTTTTATACTTAACAAGTTCATTGTAAAAATGAATTAATTTATAAAACATTTATACTTTTTGAGTGTGTAAACATATAATTTCAAACTGAACAAATACAAAAGTATTAAAGTATAAAAAGAATGTGAATGGTTATTTTTACGACTTGTGGTTCACCCATTTGTACATGTTACGTTTAAATAAAATATTTATTTACTGGTTAATATAACTGACAATTACATTAATTTTGTTTATGATAAATAATCAAATATACACATGAATAAATAAAAAATGTTGATAATAAAGTAATTTGTTTTTTAATTACATTGGTGTTGTCACTTAGATACGATTAATATATCTTATAAATTTAATTAAAAATATTTTTTTACTACATTATTAATTAATTTGAAAGTAATTGAATTGTTATTTGTTTGTGTATTACTTATAAAACTCGTGCATTGTATTTTATCCAAAAAGACAAACGTTTATGTTTTAATTCACTGTTATATATGATTTTGAGAAATAACTGTTATTATAGATAAATATGTATAGAATTAATATTTAAAATAATAATGTGTATTCAGTTTTGTTGAAACAACTAAGTTAATGTACCACAACGAATAATTCTAAACAATTTTATAATTTTTTATCGTCTGCTTTCATTTATTGATGATAAAATATTTATTTTTATATTTTATGTATATATGTAAGAAAGCAACAAGTTAAAAGCAAAAATGTTTTAAGATGTGTTATTCTAGTAATTTTGGTAATGATTTCAAGTTCAGGTTTGATGTTACACGTTTACACACTAAAAAGTTATCCAGTTTTTTATTTTGTTTATTTATAAAAATGAAAATGTTGTGATTAACAGTGAAATTTAATATATCATCTATTGTTATTAAATTATTTATATTAATAATCAATACA